TCTTCTGACAGAAGGAGATCCTCCACAAGAGAGAGATCTTTTGAAAGAAGAAAGTCATCTCTAAAGTGGCCATATTTCAGGAGGAGGTCCTCAATCAGACCGATCTTCAGAAGATGGTCTCGTGTATCATCAGGTATCACTATAGCTAAATTCCTTCTCACTTGCTTTTCTTTCTTTCTCTTCCCATCAATGCAATCAATAATTTGATACAACTTCTTGCAACTGAGCTTTCAGATTTTGGGGTCAGCTAATGCTGCTCGTTGTGCAGAAGTCCCAGAGATGTTGATATCACTGTTACCTTCCTGTATGTACTCACGCAACAAATGGATGACTGCTGGCCAACTCTTTCTTTAAGCAGTACTTGTTATTGATCAATGGGCATCTTAGATGGCATCCAATGGAATATGCATCTGATTCAACTTCAAATTTCTCACAAGGAGGCAGACGCTGATGCTTAGTAACAAATAGCTTTTCAAAGTAGGACTTCCTCAGGACTTTATGATAGCCCGCTAAAGTTTGCTAATGAAAGAGCAAACGCCATTAGACATCCTCAAAACTTTTGGTGTTTTTTTTTGGTTGGATCCCATCTTTGAAAACCTCTCCATATTTTTCTTTATTTCCTATAAAGTCCCTTGTTAAGATTTGGCTTAAGTAAAAAAAAAAAAACACTCATGTATAGAGCATGTTCGTTGGATTATGATGACCAACTTGTATACTTTTTGTCAGGATTTACAAGCTTTGTAACTTACTAGTATTCTCATTTTCTGCAGATGAAGGAAGCTGCTATTCTGATTTTGAAGATTATGAGACCGACTGGGATTCAGGTAAGCACATAACAACACAAGAGCACATAATAGATACAAACTCAAGGTTAACCGCACCAAACTTGCTTGCAGGAAATACGACTTCAGCAACAGAGTGGTCAATGTCTGGAATACTCTACCTGACTCTCTGGTTTCTTCCCCAAACCCCAAAAACTTTAACCTTAGACTGTCTACTATTGACCTCACCCCTTTCCTAAGAGGTCTGTAGGGGGCGTGCATAAGCGCACCAACGTGCCTACCGTCCCTGTCCTATTGTTTCTTTTATTTTTCTTATATGTACTCATTTCTTGTATTCATAACTATTTTTATCCTTATACCTATTATCTTGTAAGCGATTGACAAATCAAATAAATAAATAAATAAAATATTTCTAACTTTGCACCCAACACATCTAGAGGAAATTAGCTGTGAGCAGACAGACCAGTTGAATTGACTAACAAAGATTTTGCTAATCCAGCATTTTCCAAAGATGTTGGCCCACAATTTTAAAAAATTATTACCAGAAGCAGGAAAATGTAGTAATTGGTGGGGAATAATAGTTCAGCACACTTAAGAATGACAGGTTAGGGGAAATGACTCTCAAGTATTATGGGTTGGGTTGTTTCAAAATTTCAGATTATAGAAAAATTGAGCCAATGGGCTCCGGTGATTAGAATCAGACTGATGCTAAAGAAAGGCAGGTGTACATGCTGTATTGAGCCAAAATTGCTGATTGTGTTCAGAATGCAATAAATGTTTGGTTCAAACAAACCAATGTTGGCTTCACACAACACTCTTTAATATAATCCACGGTTTGCAGTAGTTCGCACAATATACAATCTATTTACAGCTCAGAACAAATCCTGCCAATTATACTTGTCAGAAAGCAAAATCTGAAGTTGACTTGAGAACAGGATAAAAATGTAGGCACACACCTTTTGTACAAGGCAGTCCAGAGGAACTGTGTTATCTTAAGAAACTGGGTGTGATGGAATTCTATGCTGATGAGTAAGCAAAGCTCAGTTTTTTTGAAGATCCCTGCATTTGTAATTTAGATGAATCTTCGGACATGGAGGATTCTGAACATACTTTGAGCACAACCATCAAGACAAATATTCAGATGGATGGACAAGGTCTAGGTATCATACTTATTCAGAATGGGCCTTATCTCCAAGTTTCTGGTCTGGTAGAGAAAGGTGCTGCTGCCAGAGACGGCAAACTCCAAGCAGGTGAGGCGAGACCACAAAACCAGTTCGAAGCCATATAAGCCGGTAACAAGAGGAAGACCTATTTACAACAATGGGAAAAAGGGTTTAAGTTCCCAAGTGTGAAAAAAAGCCCGCCATCAGCTATGCTCAGTCACTATCCAGGAGAGATTACAGGTAGCTCTCAACTTACAACCACAATTGAGCCCAACATTTATATTGCAAAGTGAGACATTTATTAAGGGAGTTTTGCCCCCATTTTACAGTCCTTTTTTGCTGGTTGTTAAATGAATCGTTGCAATTCTTAAGTCAGTAATACGGTGGTGAAGTAAATCTGGCTTCCCCATTGACTTTGCTTGTCGGAAGGTCCCAAAAAGGGATCTCACGACCTTTGGGACACTGCAACCATCATTAAATGAGTTGCCAAGCACCCAAATTTTGATCACATGGCCATAGGGATACTACAACGGTCATAAGTGTGAAAAACGGTCCTAAGTCAATTTTTTCAGTGCCGTTGTCACTTCAAATGGTCACTAAATACTGTTGTAAGTTGAGGGCTACCTGTACCATTGTGCCTCTTTCATTACCTCCATAGAGGCTGCCAACCAAACCCTTGGTTGATCATGTTTGGTCAGAAGTGCTTCTGGTTTTCCACCAGCATTGCTCCTGCCACTTAATCTCCTGAATCTCCCCAGTAGATACATGAAAGGGGAGAGACTACTAATCTGCAATATTGTCCAAGGGTATTTTTGCCTCAGATCTATCCCCTCAGTAGAACTGTCCATCATGACCTCAGGCACACCTCCAACTACCCTTTGAAAACCCAAAGGATCCATCAGCCCGGTCCCAAAGATCCTTTGTCCCTAGAGGTTGTTTGCACTGGTCAGCTGCATAGCCATCGGAAGCAAGAGAGGGAGCTGACCACAACCAATATCCCCACCCCTTCAGATTATGTTGCCTACCGTTGAAGACCATGTCTAACATGTGGCCTCCTACAAAAGCTGGACTTTTGACAATAGGTGCCATAAGTACCAGTTGATAAAAATCTGGGCTTGTCCTAGCAAGAAATTTCAATCAATTAAATTGCTCAGAGTCACCTTGTAGGGGAAATGGGGGGCATAGAAAATCACCCAACCGACCAATCACCCAACCCACCAACCTGCTTGTTGATGGACTGCTTGATTTTTGAGCAATCAACATTTTGGGATGTGTTCTCTTTATTACTTTATTCTTCAGACCTTCAAACACATAACCATTGTATTGTTGTGATTAATTGAAACTAATTCTTAATTTATTTTGAAGTGCAATTTTCAATTACGTTTCTTAAGCAATGATTGGCAGCTAAGAGTATCATGGGTCAATTCCATTTTTTTTTTTTAAAAAAAAATTCATTTCAGGCGACATCCTACTCAAAATCGGACACGCCAATGTCTTAGGTTGGACCTTGCGAGAACTCAGACAGCTCCTGCACACTGTTCCCATAGGGACCGTTCTGCAAATCCAGATTTACAGGGATTTTATTAAAATCCCAGGCCGGTGGCAGACTGCCCTCATGAACATTCCTGAATTAAAAGGGCCTGCAACAGAGTAAGAGTTTTCTATCTGTCCAAGTTTTTGGGAAATAAACCCTAAAACAGTAGTAACTGTCAGGGTAATGATTTCATAGCTGACCAGCTGCTGTAAGGTTGTAATACTTAATGTTGTAATGATGATGCAATGGTAGCAATGAGTCAGCAAAGTTATTTGACTGCTACCACTTTAAGAGGCTGTAATAGAAGAGAGACCATGTGAGGGCGTATCTCTCTCTCCATGTGTGCTTCCGTGGTGTAGCTGATTACTGATTGCTGTTTGTTCAAGGCCTGTATCAAAGTATTTGTATGTATATATGCTTTTGTAGGGATAAAACCACTATATGTAAATACAAACCTGTGTACTGTATTTGCTCCTGGTTATCTCACCTAGTCACACTGTGTGCACTCTGACAGGTTATGGGCCCAGTTCAGAAAGAAGCCCAGAGAGAAGCCCAGAGTGACTAGAGAAACCAGAGAGAAGAGAAACCCAGTGAGGGCTTGCTCCAGAGCCAGAAAGGATTGTGCATTGTGGTTTGTTAGTGGTTAGTGCTTGTAATACCCTGCTGGAACTGATCCTCTCTACATTTCAGCATAGAGAGTTACCACAGTGAAGAAAACTGGACAAGCAGCGAAGACTCGGAGAACGAGAGCGAAGAGATGGTTGAAGAGAGCAAGAGCAACAATGAGGAAAGCTACGAGGAACCGGAGCGCGTGAGAGCTTTGTCAGTGGGCACTGTCCGTAGCGTCCGTAGTGTCCATAGTGTCCGTAGCATCCATAGCGTCCGTAGCGTCCGTAGCATCCGTAGCGTCCATAGTGTCCGTAGCATCCATAGCGTCCATAACGTGAAAAATCTGCGCTCACTTTCCATCAAGCCTTTGATCAAACATCAACCCAAATGGATCTCCAAAGACTGGCACATTTTTGAAAGGAAAACCTACACCTTTACTGTGGGTTCCGACATCGGTTGCGACATTATGATCCACAAGGATTTTGAAACGGAAAGCGAGCTGGATATGTCAACGTTATATTTATCTTCATCCTCTCCGTACTGGACTATGCCCAAACATAAAGCCCCACACTTGGTATCATCATCATCTTCCTCCGTGT